CCCAGAGGCCCGCGCCGTGCTCGCCGGCGGCACGGGCGCGGGCAAGTCCACGCTGGCGGCGGTGCTGGGCTGCCCCGCGGCGGGACTGGACGATGGCCGCGGCGCGGCGCGCGCCTCGGTCCTGCGCCACCGCCACGAGCTCGCCTCCGGCCGCACCTCCAGTGCCGCCCATGTGCTCCTTGGCTACGATGCGCAAGGTGGGCTTTTTTTGGTTTTTGCGGGGTGGGGGGTGGGGTAGGAGCGGGGGACGGTATCGACCGGACGATCATCCTCAAAGGCATCCGCCGGGACCCCCTCCCCCCGCACATGCGCACCATCCAGCAGGCCGCGTGCTGAACCGGGCGGGGGTGTCGCCGGCCACGGCGCCGGAGCTGGGCGTGGCAGCCCACGCCCTGGTCCGTCTGGTGGACGCTCCCGGCGACGAACGGCACGCCGGCACGCTGCTGCGCGCGCTGTGCGCTGGCCGCCCCGCCCTGGTGCTCCTGGTGCTGGCGCTGGGCGCGCCGGGGGCGGCGGGACGTGCGCCCCCCATGCGCTGCTGAAGGCGGCGGCGGCGGGGCTGGCGCTGGGCGCGCGCCTGGCCTGCGTGCTCACGGGCACGGACGCGGCGGGTGATTTGACCGCTGCCATCGGCGCCGCCGTCCAGGCGCTGCAGGCCCCGCTGGAGCGCGCGGGGCTGCGAGTCGTACGGCCGGGTGGCGGGCCGGGCGCGCCCGCCGGCGACGGACACCCCGCCGACGGCTCCGAGGCCGATCGCGCTCCCCAGAGCAACGTGTCCAGCCCCGCGCTCGCCGTCCCCGCGCTCCCCGTCTCCTGCGTCGACGGGGCCGGGCTTCACGAGGTCCACGCCATGCTGCGCGCGCTGCCCTGCGCACCCGTCCCGGGTGCCCCGCCCTCGCCCGCTCGACGACAGCCGCTGCGCTTCCGGGTCGAAGCGTGGCACGCCAGGCCGGGCGGCCTGGTCCTGCACGGCACGGCGGTCGCCGGCCGGCTGCGGCCCGGGGCGGCGCTGGCGTTGGGGCCCTGCGCCGGGGTCGTGGCCTGGGCGCCCGTGACGGTGGCCTTGCTGCAGTGCTGCGGGCGAGACGTGGCGCACGCCGCCCCAGGCACCCTGGTCTCCGCCACGGTGCGTGCTGCCGGGGACCGGGCACGTGGGGATGCAGGCTCGGGCTTGCGCCACGCCTTTGGCGCCCAGATCGCGCCGGAGCTGGCGGCCCTGCATGCCGCCTGGGCGGCGGCAGAGGAGGTGGCGCCTGGGCCTGATGCCGTCGACATGGATGGGGCCGGACTCCGTACCCTGGACGAGATGTCGGTGCACAAGGTGCGTGTGTGTGGAAGGGGACAGGCTGGGATCGAGGCTGTAGAGTGCCTGGCGACAGGACGGGTCGATGTCTTGACCCAGCGGGCGGTCACCCCCAGGTGCCCGACCGACACCCATGCTCCCTCCGCCTTTTGAAACTAGCGGGGAGCCTGGCTGCTGGACTGGAGCCTGGAGCCCAGAGCCAGCCGCACTTTCCAGGCGGCACTCGCCTGGGGCCAGCAATTTCTGTGTGAGCTTGGGGTGACACGTTGCTTGTGCCCATGGCTCGCGGCCCTCTGCCTTGGCTTGTGTGCCAGGCTGGGATGCTGCTATGCACGCCAACACACGCAGACCAACAGCCCAGTCCCCTCCCTCCCACCCTCCCTGCAGCTGCGCCGAGCTCGAAGCGTCGATGGGTGGTGCACTGCGGAGCGACGCAGCAAGAGGCGCAGCTGGAAGGCGAAGTCATAGCGTCCCTACCTGCCGACTTCGACATGACGAGGCTGGAGGGCGCGGTCAGGGCTGCCCTCCTCATGGGACATCCTGGATCAAATGAACCCCAGGTTTTTTCTGCCACCTTCACCTTCTGCCATCGTGCGGAGTGGCTGCTGCCAGGCTCACCGGTGCTGGTGACGGATGCCAGTGCCAAACGACTCGTTGCAGCTGGGATTGTCCTCGAATCAGGCGGGCACCTCAGCATTGTACCATCCTAATGACATAGGGTCTGAAATATCCTTGTACATGACCTTTGCTTCTATGTACCGACCGTAAAGTCCCGTGGCTTCGGTCTCATGCGTGTAACATTATTGACACAGGTGCCGTCACGACCGGACTGGCGCGCACATCATGCGCGTCATGGGGTGCAATCCGAAGGATGACCCTCGCTTGCACCGCCGCATGCGCCTGGACGGGGCCACGCCCCGAACCTCATACACCCTGCACGGCTCATTAGGGTTGAGGATCGTCGAATCACGGCCAGCATTCGCGCGAGATAGGGTAGGGGCAACACCATCATGGAGGCTCTCTCCGGCACCCGTGCATCCTTTGCAGGAGCCACGCATGCCTTCACCGCGCGCAAGCTCCCCGGTACTTGTCGCCGGATCAGCCTGCAGGTGTGTCTGCGCAACCCAGTGGACCTTTTGGCCCTTTGCCCGACCCCGCCCCTGCCTACGGAGGCACGCCATGCTACCCCCTTCCGCAGGTTCGGAACGCGGGTACCAGGGAGATCAGGGACCGCATCTCTTCCGTGAAGAACACCCAGAAGATCACGGAGGCCATGAAGCTGGTGGCGGCAGCTAAAGTGCGGCGAGCGCAGGACGCTGTGGTGCGGGGCCGGCCCTTTGCGGAGAATCTCGTCAAGGTGGGGTTATGGGCGGGGATCGAGGAGGCTGAGGGTTGAAACGGCGACAGCGTCGAGGTCCAGATCTGTGATCAATGGCCAGAGCTGCAGTCGAAGATCCGCATCTGCCGTCGTTCATCGCCCCAGGTGCTGTATGGAGTCAATCAGCGCCTGCGCGTGGAGGACATCGACTCCCCCCTGGTCGAGAACCGGCCTGTGAAGACGGTCCTGCTCCTCTGCGTCACGGGCGACCGTGGGCTGTGCGGCGGGTACAACGCCATCGTCATCAAGGTGGGTGGAGGGGGTTGAGATGAGAAAAGGGTCTCCCATGGAATTCCACAACCTTCCAGAAGGCTGTCTTATGAGAGAGATCACATGCGCCAAACCCTGTACAATTCTGTGCAGAAAACCGAGGCTCGGTACAACGAGCTGACCAAGCTGGGGGTGAAGGTGCGGCTGCTCCTCATCGGGAAGAAAGGTTCCGCCGCCTTCAAGCGTCGGCCCAACTACAAGAATGCCATCGGCAGTGAGTGGCGGGGAGGGGGATGTGGGGGTGTGTGTGGAGGGCCCCACCCACTTCAAATGGGACGCTGCATGTGTAACCTGACACCTATGCCCGACCCATTGTATCAATACACCTCCCTCCCTCCTCCTCCCCCCCCCTGTCCCCCCCAGATGTGTACGACATGGGCCAGGCTCCCTCCGTCAAGGAGGCCCAGGTGGTGGCCGACGAGATCTTCAGCGACTTTGTGTCGCAGGAGGTGGACAAGGTGGAGATCATCTACACAAAGTTCGTGTCGCTCATCGCATCGGGTGCGTCCCTGGGGGCGTGGCGCGACGCCCAGGCTCCGCGCCTGGGGGGCTGATCGACCGGTGCGGAGCCGGCAGACGCCGCCGCTTCCAGTCTGCGCTTGTACCTTTATTCTCCTGCGCTGACCCCTCACACCCCCTCTCCCCCTCATGCCCCTGCAGAGCCTGTGGTCCAGACGCTGCTCCCGCTGTCCCCCATCGGCGAGGTATGCGACGTGGATGGCAACTGCGTGGACGCCGCGGAGGACGAGGTCTTCAAGCTGACCACGCGGGAGGGGCAGCTGGTGGTGGAGTCTGAGAAGACGGTGCGTGGGCTTGCTGAGGGGTCGGGGGGATGTGTGGGATCATACATCAGGATTCAGGTTTCCCCCTGTTGCCTGGAGGAAGCAGGGGTGGGGAGTGGGGCCCTATCCAACCCTCCGGCTGATTCTTGCTTTCCCAGGACCATCGTAATACCATTGCCCTCAAGGAAGCTCCAAGCCTCCTCATGTCCACTCCCCTCCAACCCCCCAACCCTCCCCTCCTCCCCAAATAAACCCTCGCAGGCCAAGGCGGACCCCAGCGACTTTGAGGCCGGCCTCATCTTCGAGCAGGACCCGGTGCAGATCGTGGACGCGCTGCTGCCGCTGTACCTCAACTCCACGCTGCTGCGCAGCCTGCAGGAGGCCCTGGCCTCGGAGCTGGCGGCGCGCATGAATGCCATGAGCTCCGCCTCGGACAACGCGGCGGAGCTGCGCAAGGGGCTCAACCAGGTGTACAACCGCAAGCGCCAGGCCAAGATCACGACCGAGCTGAGCGAGATCGTGGCCGGCGCGAGCTCGGTGTGAGGTGGCCAGAGGCTGGCGTGGGGCCTGGTTGGCTGCCCCTATGGGGGACTTGGGGGCACTGCTGGGCGAGGGAATGCTGCTGAACAGAGACCCAAATGGGCCTGCAGCCGGCCGGCTGCATGCGTGCACAGGCCAGGCCGTCGGCAGCCTCCCCTGCCGCCCCGCCGAGCCCCCGTCACTGGCTTTTGCATCGCCTGGTCCCATTCTTTCCTGCACTCCATTTCCGTCCTTTGCCTTGCTTGAGAAGATGCGTAACGTCAAGGACTTGGTATAGGTGTAGGGAGAGGCAAAGATGTGTGGCTTGGGGGATAGAATGCCGAGGCTGGGTAGCGAGCAGCCTGATTGAAGCTGCAGGGAGGCTGAAATCCAGAACAACGCTCTGGCGGCAGCCAGAGCAGCCCCGCCTCCCCAGCCAGTCACATGCCGGGGTAGAGCCTCCAGATGTCCTCCAGCTTGACGGGCTCCAGGGTCACGGGGCAGGCGCCCGCCTCGCTGACGTGGCGGTGCACGCAGGTGTAGCAGAAGGCGTACCCCGTCGGCGCCAGCAGGGCCGGGTTCTTGCGCTCGCTTCTACACAGCGGGCACAGCGCGGCGTCGTCGGGCAGCTGGATGCCGCCCTCGGCGGGGGCCAGCGGCGGCGGGGGCGGCGGCGGCGTCAGCGCGGCCCTCTCCCCCAGCGCCTGCTCGCCCGAGGTATACCACCACTCCAGCAGCTGCAGGGTCGGGGTGGAATGGGGGACAAGGACCGTGAGGGTAGGGGCAGGAGTGAGCGGGCGGGGGGAGAGGGTCCGTGCGCCTGGGGTGCTCGAGGAAAGCGCGTCCTGACCTTGTCTTTGGCCCGGCTCGCCATGGGTTGTGGGGACGCCACGGCACCCATCCCCAATCTGTCAAAAGTCGCGCATGGCACGCACCCACCCCGCGCTCCCCAAAGCCCCTCCCCTGGACAGCAGCGCCAGACCTTGAAGGCGAAGACGGCGAGGATGAGCGCGTTGTGAGTGTGGTCCGCCACCGCGTACCCCGCGCGCAGGGCGGCGCCGCGCGCGAGGCGCAGCGGCCAGGCGAGGGAGGCGCCCCGCGCGGCGCGTGCGGCGCGGCGCGCCGCCAGCTCCCGCCCCCGCGCGGCCTGGGTGCGCGGATCGACCCGCGCCACGGTGAGGCCCAGCAGGTGGAGGCCCGGGGCGTAGTGCGGGGAGCGGCCCAGCAGGTAGAGCAGCTGGTAGAGGAAGCGAGAGCCCTCGTGCACCGCCACCACGCAGGGGTAGCCCCTGAGGAAGGCGCGCAGCGCCAGGCGGCGCCAGCCGTCGGCGAGGCCGTCTGCTCCCCTCGCGGCGGGAGCGGGAGGAGGCTGCAGGCCCAGGGCCTGCAGCGAGCGCAGCTGCGGCGCGTGGCGCCCGTGCAGGCCGTCCAGCTTGGCGCGGGCGTAGGGCACCAGGGTCTGTGGTGCCCGGGGGGGACGCAGGATGGGGGGTTGCGGGGGGAGGTACTTTGGCCGGACAGCCACCCATGAGCGGTGGATTTCGCAGTCCACCCCCCGGATCATGTGTCCCCAGCGTCAGAACCCGCGCGCGTGAAGGAGCCAGCACACCAGGAGCGCCAGCGTGGAGATGCGCTGCTGCGGGGACAGGCCGCCCGCCCCCTCCTCTGCGCCGCGCCGCGCCGCAGGGACGCGGCGCAGCGCATACAGTCCCTCGGCGAAGGAGGCGTCGGAGGCCCTGAGCGACCCCCGGTGCAGCCAGGCGCTGATCAGGAAGAAGAGCTCGTCCTCGTGGTCCAGGAGCCGCAGCAGCGAGGGCCGGCGCTGGGCATAGACCTGAGGCGGGCGGGCGGGGAGGGGCGGGATTCAGCATCGAGGTGTCGAGGTGTCAGGAGGCCAGACCGTCGCTCCTCGGTGCACTGCACAGCCGGGCCGTCTCACACCCCATACGACGCACCGATAGGGAGTATGCTATGGCAGCCTTGAGGCTGGGGAGGAGTCTGTCGGCGGCCACCAGCTCAAAAAAGGTGGGGCGAGAGGAGGCCTCTCCTCCCACCGTCACGAAGCTCATGCAGCCTCCGGTCCCTTACCTCGACCCTTCAGGCGGCCCGGGCTGCCGGTAATGATTTCATCGCAGTATACATGTGATTACAATATCATCCACCCGTCACTCGTTGTCCCTGCGAAGCCTGTTCGTCCCGGAAGTGCCTCAATTGCGAGATTTCCGTGACGTGGCAGAACTCCGCATGGCGCGATGGTGATCCGTCATGGACGGCACTTGGGATCTATGGCACCTCTCCTGTCAGCAATACATGGCGACACATGCTATACGCTCCAATACGAGTAGTATACTCAGGAATATGAAGACTCTCGCACCTTGCAAAAGTCTGCAGCCCAGGACTGAGGCCGGAGCACCATGCCTGGGCAAAGGATCCCCTCGGCCTCCATGCCCCATGAGACGCAGGCAGAAGGGGTGCGGCAGCTGGCGATGCAAGCCCATTGCATGTCATGCTTCATCCCCTCGAGATGTGGATGCTGTGCAGGAGGGCATGAGTCGCTCGGTCAATCAGGTATGATTGCTCCAAAGCTGTCGCACCCTGGGGTGTGCAACCCTCTCCGGGCTGGAATCGTCAGTCCAATGGCCAACCTTTTTATCAACCTGCCAAAACCCTGTCACTGGCAGCTGTGCACGGATGCCCTGCGAGCCATGCTTGCCGGGGACGAAAGGGCGGCGGGGCGAGAGGCCGCCAAGTGCCGTGATTTGGCTGTACGAGTTGCCGGAGCGGGGCGGCAGCCGTCTGGTCACCAGGTATCAGGCATGGAGGGCAGGGAATGATTTCATCCCATCGGCGACCCCTGCACTGCGTCCTGCACAGCCTCGGAGCTGCTCAACTTTCCCTGTCCTTTTCATTCCAGTACCATCAGACGGTTGCGTTTCTGAGCGTGCTGGAGCAGATGCTGCAGCACAACATGCCCAGCACCCACGCTCTGGATGAGCAGCATGCGCGCTCCCTCGACCGCCTGCTGAACCAGGTGGGGGTTCACAGGTTCCCTTTTTTTTTGGGGGGGGGGGGGGTGGAGTTGTCTGGTGGCCAAGACTCGGCGGTTTTGGAGCAGGGCACGCATTCGGCACACCCCCTGGAGTTGCATGCTGGGCCCTCATCGAGATGCCATGCACAGCCCCCCTCTTTGGGTTAGGCAACACATCCTACACACCCGGCGCAGATCTCCGGTTCAGAGTGGAAAGTGGGGGATGGTGACCAGGCTGCCCAGGAGCCGCAGTTCAGCACCTGGGAGGAGGCCCTGGGTGGGGGCCCCCACCCAGGCGCCGCCGGCCCGCGGCGCGACCCCCCTCCTGATGCCTCGAGGTCACAGCCGGGGAGGCACACCGCCCTGTACAACGACCTGGGCGTGACCGGCGGTGCGACGCGCGCCGACATCCGGGCCGCCTTCCGGAAGGGGGCGCTGACCTGGCACCCGGATGTGAACGCCGCTCCGGAGGCCCCCGCTCGCTTCGCCCGCCTCGCAGAGGCGTACGGTGGGCTGGGCGACGCCGGGCGCACGCCTGCTCGGCTTCCGGTGGAGGGTGGGGCGTGTTTCCAGGGGGACGTCGCCCGTGCCGCCCACACTGCCCCCGGCCCCCGCCCCCACCGCAGAGGTGCTGTACGACGAGGAGCTGCGCAGGAGCTACGACCGGGAGGGACCGCGGGGCGTGGAGGCCGCAGGTGGGTGGCTCGGCCCGGCGCCTCTCGAGGTCGTGTTTATCTTTTTGGAAACGGGTGTCGGCCTCCTTGCCTCTCACCCCCATCTCTCTCCCAAACACACCCACCCAAGCTCCTTCCCGCTCGGCTGCGTGCAGTGCGGAGCAGAGCGTCGGGGGCCGGCGTGGGCACCAGCGAGGCCCGCAGAGCCTGGGACGAGTTCAAGCCCTTCCGGAAGGAGAGCCGGCGGACCCAGGCCCGCGCCGCGGCGGGGCCTGGGTCCGGGTCCGATGGGAGCCCGCCCTCGCCATCATCAGGCGCCATCCCTGTGGGCAGCGTGGTGCAGTACGCCCTCAGCCCCGCAGTCCTCGCGCTGGAGGAGGGGCACAGGAGCTCTGGCATCGGCCTGTTGGTCGGCAGGAACATGGACAGGTCAGCGCAGACGGCGGCGCACTCATTCCATACATCATGCTGGGTGGTGGGGTTTGGTGGAGGGCTTTGATTCTGTCCAAGCGCCTGGGATGGGGCGGGGTTGGGCCGGGCACGAGGGGCTGGGTGGGCACACAGCACATCCTCCCCCCCCCCCTCCTCCCTTTTGCGCCCCAGTCACCCTCGAGTGCACACAAACACATACACCACGTGTGCTCCATCCTCCTTCCCTGGCTCTGCAGGGGGGATGCCAGCAGGCTGCCGCCGGAGCGGCTGGGTCTGTGTGAGGTGGAGGCCTTCCGCCAGACGGAGGCCGGCAGCTCCTGCTGGTGCCCCGACGACCTGGCCTCGCCCGCCTTCTGCCACCTGGACGACCTGCGCCCCATCCCCGTCGCCGCCTACGACGCGCGCTTCGATCGGTGGACCATCGAGGAGGTGCTGCCAGACGGGTGTGCAGGGCCGGACTTGCCAGAGGAGATCATCCTGTGACCGACTGTGGAGAAGGGTGTGCCGGGCGACTGGTTGGCTGGCCCATGTAGCATGGACTGCTGCGCTTGCTCCAAAGTCGAAATCTCGCAGCCAAGTCCCCAGGCACAGTGTGGGGAGTGGGTGTCATGGCGGGGGCCGGGCGGCCCCGGGCACGGCACAGTGCACGGCGGCTGACGGGACAGAGGGGTAAAGGACTCAGTGGGTTGGCCCCACAACAACTTCGTGCCTGTTCTCTCGGTGGGTGTGGCTGCAAGCCCGGCCCGCCCCGGCCCTGCTGACCCAGGCCAGTAATCGACCAGGGAAAGTGACAGTTGGTGTGGGAGGCGAGTCCAGGCTGGAATGACACCCCATGCCTTGTGGCCGGCTCTCTCGTGCGACGAGGTATTGTGCCAATGGACCCCCCTGCAGCACGCACCTGGGCTCTCCCAGGGTCAGAGTCGGGGACCAGCCTTCTGAAGATGCCTTCGCGCCATGCAGCGGGGTTCACTTGCCGAAAGCGTCTAGCCCTGGGAACGAGCAGGAGCTTGATTTGGAGGAGCTATGGACAGCTCGCATCCAAGGTGCAACGGACGGGGTGCTTGAATTTGATAAACAGACTATCTTGTGCTAAAGGGGGCAACTGAAGAGGTGACATGAACGTAATGAGCACTCTGCAGGGAGGTTCACTGGCTTCCAGAACGCAAGCTTTGGGTGCAGGCATGTTCTTACCACCGCCACATATTGACCTCCCTCCAAATCTGTGTGACCTGCGGGAAGTAATTTGGACCAACATTCTCAAATCTCAGACTTCAAGGAACCCATTTTATTATGGTGAAGACGGGAAAGTACCCTCTTTCAAGTGGCACTCACTGCTGATGTCTTCGGCGATGCAATACCATCTCTGCCACTGTCCGGCCTTCCGGTCAAGCCCATGGATTTTTGCGGAAGTGGGATGTCCGGAAAGCGAAACTCACCCAGATTGCGAGGAGTCCTGCTGCATGGAATGGCATGAGCGACGCTCTCAAAGTGTGCCCTTTAGTGATAAGCCGGTGTCTGGCATGAAGCAGCACCTGTCATGCACTCAGCTGCCTTCTTGTCAAGCCTTTTCAAATGGATGCTGCCTCACAATGTATCTCTGCTTTCCTTATTTGCAGGATGCCATGATAGCTTAATGTAGCAAGGACATGTCTTGGAAGCAAAATTTTGGCAGTAAGCTTCTTGAAGAAGAAATGCAAAAATGGGGAAAAGTGCAACACTCCTCATCCCCATCCCCTGCTGCGCCCCGGGTGCCAGCGCACAGGTATAGAGGTCCCCAAACAGCACAGATGTGGGGATGGGTCGTTGGTTATTCGACATTGTTGTGACTTGCGACAGCCGCACAACCCACCATCCAATACTTGCCACCCTTCTCCTGGTGTTCACACGTAATCCCTGCAGTGGAGGTTCTGGTCCGGCCACACATAATACTTCAGATCCAGCAAAGGACCATGAGATGCCTGAGTCTGCCCCAGTTTGCGACCCCTTGGCGATATCAGAGGTGTGCTGCCTGGCTGCTTGCAAAGGTGGGCCGTGTTCTGGTTGGCATTGCAACTGGGGATCCATGTCTGATGTACACAAGTCTACATGCGTGCACACATATTGTGTTGTCCCCTCCCTGATGCATTTGAAATTCACCCTTTACAGCCTCTGCAAGCGGCCCAGCAGCCACCAGCTCCCCATTGCCAGGCGATGGCTTGCGTGCAATCCCATGTGACTCAGACAGCGGAAGCACCAAGTGGTGTGCTCACCAGGTAGGCAGCAAAGTCGATGGGCACCCAGGCTGGAATGCATTTGGAATGGTACTGTCTGGATGGACCAGGTACTACCATTTGTTGCTGTGTTCTTGGACATTCTCGATAGTTCTGTCCATTTGAACACCCTGCAGATCAGACGATCGTAACTTCAAGGAGCTGCAGATCCAGTAGGCTGCAAGATCAATGCATGTTTGTATTCCCAAATGATTTGAGGCATGGCGCAGGCCAGTGTATGTGCTCACAGCTTGCGGGAATAGAGCAGGCCAGGTTGGGCATGGAGTGTGCGACGAGCAGTGCTCTTGAGCACCAGAACATTCGACGTCCCTGCATACATCATGTGCTCGCTTGTTGTGGGGTTTCCCCTTGACCGGGCCCTTTCCCCACTTTCCTCCTGTTCCTAGCAAGATCGGGAAACCATGTTTCCGAAACCAAATTGTTGTGGGGGCGGGCTGGCCCCCACAACGTCGCTTAAAGCAGGTGTGCGTCATTTGCAGGAGTACTTGGGGCTTGCAACACCACTGTGTGCCCTGTGTCCAGTCGTCTACCACGCTGCTCAATGCAGCTGTGGTATCAGACCTTTTACAGCCAATCCGATTCATCTTCTTCCTCTCCAAGGCGTGCATCCCCATGTCCTCTTACAGGTCGTTCTTTCCATAGTCTGTGCTCGATTCATCTGTATTTAGGCCCTCTTGCTCCCTTAGTAGAGGCTGTTCTCATAGGAAATTTATTCAATTCTGTTGATCATCACCTCCGAAATTCTGCCCTGTTCCTTTCCCTGCCGTCCACGAGGACTTCTCAAGCCTGTGCCCTGCTCTTTACACCAACACACGACAGCATGACAACTTGGTGCTGGGGCGGATGGCGATGCCTCACCACCACACTATTGTAGAGTATCTTGAAGTGCGACCATAGAATAGCATTGTACAGGGCTCTTCCGTGATGGCAGGAGATCCATCCTGTAAAGGGCAAATCCCCTGAGTTCATCCCAAATTCATCAAAAAGTCAGCCGACCAAAAAACTCTTCGTTTTGCAAGTCTTGTTGGCCTGGATGGTATGGGTCTCCATTGCCTGCCACTGTCTCAATGTCAGCGCTCCCATACGGAAGGTTGCGGGGTAACTGACAAGGGTATTTATCTGGATCACCTGGCAAGCTTGTGAGACCAGCCCTGGACGATGGTATGTGGACGTCCGCAGGTCCATGTGGAAGCATGCGGTGCATCACTGTTCGACATCAGTACCTATAGAGTGCTCAAATTTGGATCCCAACACATCCCATGTGCCGGGAGTGGCGACACGGCGGTGAGGTAACATTCAGTGGTACTCTGTCTTCCGATTCCCGCGGAACACGAGGGTCTTTCTCCTGTCAATATGCGACAAGAATAGACATGTGCTCAGGTTAAAGCCATTACAACGGGAAGACGGCCCAGAAGCTAGTCTGTGAGGGCAAAATGCTTCCGGATGGCGAGACTAAAGCGCGGAGATGCCGTGCATGATGTGCGATGTTCTAGCGCGCTTTCCGGCGGGGACCGGGGAGGAGGGGGGGTAACATCGGTCATACGGCGAGTATTCGACATTCGGCCAGGTTATCCACGCCACGAGACTTTAAAAGTGCTGAAGTATATTTCAAAGCGCGCAGCGGAGCTCCAGTAACAGGATGAGGGTGTGCTGGGATAAGAACCAACCCCCCTTCACCATGACCAAGAAAATGTGGGCCGAATTGTGAGTGTGTGATTGTCTTTGAAGAGCGCTCTTTAGCTTAAGTAGATAATTAAGTGTCCACAATCTTGCAAATGAGCGCTTGACACGCACCGGACTGTGCACGCGGCTTACCCTTCTTCGCCTTGTCTGCCCGCAGTTACGAGTTGTTGATGGAGCAACCGGACCCCTCCCAGACCAGTGGAGTCGCAGCCGAAGCTTCTGGCGTCACAATGAAAGACGTGGGCCATGGCGTGAGTGTCCGATATCTTTACTTTCTTAGCAGTACGGCGAGGGATGCTGCCTCCAGGAGCCTGATTCTCTTTTGGGGGGATATAGAAAGGTTACGTCTCGTTTCCTATATCCACCTCCTTGCAGACTTGTTCCGGAGCATACCTTGCACATACATCTCACGAACAGGCATCTCCTGCGGGCGAGGCCATGATTAAGGCCTCGCTCAGCCTGCCATCCCGGACTGGCGGACTCGACGAGCACACTGAGATGAAGGATAGGTGAGTGGACAGGAGTATGAATTTGTACCAATGAATGCGAAGCCCCCAGCTCAGATGCAACGCTGAGGAGGGGTCGATATACTCTGAGTTTCCTTGTTACAGACGCTCTCTCCTTCTCCCAAGAAATCGCCCCCCCCCTCCTCATGTTCAATTTCCGCAGTGCCGATTCCGCTTCATCCTCAAAGATTTCATTTGAGACAGAGAATGCTCATGGGACGGCTGATTCCTCCCTTGCCTTCAGGCACTTGGCGATGTCCAAGGTGCGCATTCCAGCTGCTTGCAGTAGTTTGGCGTGTTCTGGTTGGTGATGCAGGCTGGGGTCCATGTCTGATGTTCTCAAAATTTGGTATGTGGCCGTACACATATTGTGTCATCCCCTTTCTGATACATCTAGATCTAATCTTATGCAGACACAGCATCCAACCCAGCAGCCACCAGGTCCCCATCACCAGCCGATGGCTTGCGTGCCATCCCTCGTGTCCCAGACAGCAAAGGCATCAGCTGGTGTGCTCACCAGGTAGACAGAAACTGTGATGGGTACTCATGGTGCAAGTGGTCGAGGAGGGTACTGGGTGCATTGGTTGTGGGGTCTCACTTCCTGCTGTGCAATGACATTGGTCTCTCCTGCCAATGCTGTCAATGTGGCGTCCCAGCAGGTCGGACATCCGGAAGTTGAAGGAGATGGAGATCCAATAGGATGCAATCTCATGGTAGGAAGCTTGATCTGATTGGTCTAATTGATATGAGGCTCGCCGCTGCCATATGTGTGCCCACAGCATGCGGGTTCGGATCAGGGCAGGAAGGGGTTCTGAAATGTGTCTTGCGATGTGTTCTGTGGCACGAAAACACTGAGCAACTATGCTCAGTCAAGTGCTTCATCTCTCAGCAGGCGTGTTCTGGATGGAGCAGGAGTCCTTGGAGCTTTCATCAGTAGAATCTCCCCTCTATCCACTTGCCAGACGCGCTGCGCAACGCAGCAGAGTTATCAAAAGAGTTCCTGCAGATAGAATCCATCATCGTG